ACCTCTTGGGATGTAACAATTATATACAGATTTTACGTGATAGGATAAAAGCCGGTATATTTCTCACACAAAAGTCACGTTTTCCTAATAAAATAAAATAAAAAAAAAGAAAGAAATAGTTTATTAGAGAGAATTATCAGAGACACAATAATATTAGGTACAATGTATGTGCATTTTATAATCAAACATTCTCGAAGTCTAGGCGAAAATCCGTACTGAGTGACGCCAAAGTAAGCATCGGGCCAATAAAACTTTTACAAATTCGAATCGAGGAACTATTTTATCGCTCTTCCATGATGCATAAAATAGCACTGCACATTTCACGACAATCTTATAATTCATCGTATACAAAGCTTGGATTTACCTTCCGATATCGTTCTCGCAGTATTAAAATTGCATAGTTTTAATCTGGCTGAAGAAACGAATACATAAAAGCATTTTCCAACCTTTAGTATATCAGACGTCATTCTCTTACTATACAGAGTCGTATATAAATTATTATAAGTGGCTGCCTAATTTAATTTCTTCTTCGTGTGGTGGAAATTTAATTGTAAATCTTAATGGCCTTTTCGAGGTAGTTGATACGAGAGCGCTTTGGCGCTTTGTTGACATGTTCCAGGCCAAGCCAAGGCCTGTGTGGCGATGTGCCTGCGTTTAAAAGTGGATAGACTACAAAATTTATTCTTCATCAGCATCATATTACAATGTACTATGTACTAAATATAGTGAGACTATGCGATTATTCGACGCTCACTTTATTCGCATGCGTTAGAAAATGGAGAATAGAAACATAATTTATACTTACTCTGACCGGAAAATCTAGGAAGGAAATCGTCGACTTTGATACAACAGTCCGGCGAGTCGATAATGAACTGTGGCTTGCCCATTGACACCACCGCGAACTTAAACTTCAAAGTTTTTTTATGAATTCTCATAAGAGATCAAAAAAGATTAGCTAAGGATGCCTACCTTTTCGAATTCTTTTTCCTGTACTCCTAATTTCTTTAGCAATCTATCCTTCATTTTTTGAAAAGGTTCACCCTATAAAGTACAGCGTTACAATTATTAAAATGCATCGTGTTATATATATATATATATATATATATATATATATATGTATAATGTTCAACATCCGTTATTACCGAAAAGAATGGATATTACGGCCGCAGGGCGTCTCGACGCTCATCAGCGCTGGCTGATCAGATTGTTGACGAAATTAAAATATTAGCGTAATGGCGGCATTATCTCCGTTCGATACGACTCGTAACAGATTGCTGTCGCGCTGTCGAACATGCTCAGAAATCATCGGCCCCACTCTCTGCCTCTCTCTCACAATCAGCGGTGACTGTTAACGATATATAATGCGTGGCTCGTATGTTTATAGGTTTATACGATAACGCTGCTTCATGATTCTTGGGTTTTTCATGGAGCACATCGGATGAATCTGCGTCTTCTATCCGGATGTTCAAAAATTTCTAACACATCTCAATGACATAAAATATTTTTTATATTATTTTTATTGTATAATTTTTCTACAATCGAGAAATATTTGTCGCGCGCAAAATTATAAAACAAGTATTTTGCAATTATTAATATCCATTTTAAATTACAAAACTGTATATTTTCAAAAAATTCAAAGATGGAGAAAGAATATGATGCAAAGGAAAAAGAGAAGTCCATTTGTATGTGGAACAAACTTATATATTCAATTATACAATTTATATCATAAAGCCGTTTTACGTTAAATTTAATCGTAAAATTGTATTTTCTCTAAGAAGAAAACGTTTTGATAAATAATCTCTGAGAAAAAATGCAGTAGCATGAACTTTAGACTTTAGATAACATGCGATTTCTTTAAATCTCTTTGCTTGTGAGTAAAATAAAATTACGAATTAAAATAAATGTGTGTGTGTGTGTGTATTTAGAGTGTCGAGATATTAATGTAAACATCTTATTTCGATAATATTTTGCTAAAAATATATTATATATCGAATAATATATAAATCGTTGAACTTATATGGATATTTGACATGACCATAACCAATAATAAATGAAAGTATGTGATAAATGTGATAATTAACACGAATACGCACACATACGTATAAAATGATAATTTCTACAGTCTCAATCGGTATCTTTTTTTATGCCACCGCATTAGTTTATGATAAAGACTTTCATATCATAACTGATATCATGTTGAATTTATATGCGCGTTGTCGCATCAACTTTAGTTGTATAAAATTACAAGATACGGCTAAAATCGTAACATATGTAACCGAATATTTTGTGTAAAAATCAAATTGTAGATTTTTTTTCCCCAGAAAAATAGGATATTGGCAAAAAAATATTTTTAAAGTGTAAAAATAAACTATCTATTCCTTATACAATTTATGTAAACAATACTAGGATTTTGTAAAAATCTGGATTGAGAGAAAGAGAGAGATTGAGAAGAAAAACCTTGTTGAGAAAGGGTTAATACTTGTTTGCAATTCAATTCATTTAAACAAAGCCAAGTAAATAACAAATTCTTAGTGTGTATATGTGGTACAACACAAATTGATTAGAGAGATTAAAAGTTACTAAGAAATTTAATATCACATCATTAAATCAATATAATTATCAAGTTTTATTGAAGATAACACAGTGAAAGTGATTCTTAAAATGCATACCAAGTGTAATATCGATAATATGTATATATGCAGCAATAACAATATTCGTTTTGTGTCTTCTAAATGTATTAAATGATTATTTTTTTAATATCTAAATCTTTGCCATAACAGGAGAGGAAAATTTCATATATTAATATCTTAATAATAAATAATTAATACATCCTGTCTGTGTCTCTCATTCTAGCATTAAAACTGACCCCTGCAATAATATAGTTCTATGTAACTATAATATAATACGCGTCTTTTTTTACTATCAGCAACATTGCAATAATTTATAGTTAAACAACTCGCGCAGTTCACATTAGTTCTATAACTTGTGTAGTAAGTAGGTTGTAGCCTTGTCTTTTCTTAAAATTATGCATCTAATTTCCTATTACATTGTGAAATCACTATATAATATAGTATGCAAAATTCTATTAATTTAATGCATCAGGTTCCATTTAAATGTTATCCCACTTGGTCCAACAATTTTTCCATGTTGACAAGTTGATCAGGTCTTTATATGATCTTTAATGTTAGACACTGTCATCTAGTGAATAGAAAAATACAATATCTTTGTTTTAAACAATTATTTTGGTGTTGCAAATATATTAAAAAAGGATTACTTTTATAATAACAAATCAAATCATATGAGATGTACCCCAGGTACTAATAGTCATTATATATAGTAATATATAAAATTATTCTTTTCTTACCATGATACCACCATTTTGTTTTTTTTGGATTCTTGTTGCAAGTTTTAACATAAAATGTATTGTCAGGTGGCCTCTTCTGCATAGAACAATATTTGTATTATTTGCATATTTTAAGATAAATATTAAGACTCACATATATATTTACATAGTAGCTAAATCATACCTTCTCTTTACAACTGCTTAACATGGAAACAATACTCAAGCAAATGCTTTGCACGCTAAGGGCAGGAGACCAATCCTCTGTTAATATGGATAAACAAATATGACCATTGCTATAAACATGTGGATGTATAGGGATATTTCCACCAATGAAAGTCACTTCTGGTGAATCAAACGGATATTTAGAACTGAATTTAAATTGAAGCTGAAATTGTTCTCCCTCATATAGCGTGCCTTTAGCACCTTCCATATGAACAATCCATTGTGTCAAATTCTGTCCAGCGGATTCTCCATCTACATGTACACCTGGTGGTGGCTCGCGTATTAAAGACATCAATTCCTTCTGGAGTCTTCGCTAGAATATCAAATAAATTCACTTAATGTAACATTTTATATATAAATAATTTTATAGCAAAAAATTATTTTGTTCAAAGAGATATATTATATATCTATTTTTTCAAAAATATATATTGATGTTTTGCACTCCTTTTGATAAATAATTAATTTTATTTTAGAGACTTCTACATACATTGCTATTTTAAAACATGCAAAATAATCTCAATTATATAGTAATAATTAATCAGAAAAAAATTAATATGACAAAAATTGATTAATGAGTAAATCGATAATAGTGATTAAATAAATAATAGAAACAATTAAAAAATGTTTTTTCCAAAGTATACACATTTATTTGTTACTAATGACATAATTTTTTATAAAAAATGTACACGAATATTTTGTCACTAAGGTCATATATTTTTCGTTCGTAATGTCCATTACAGAACTACGCTCAGTTGTTCGCATTAAGGGAGCGAGAAAAATTGAAAAGATATTTTTTTATTTTTTCTTATTTTCTTATTTATTCAGGATATGGATGTGGATATTGAATATCCACAGTTGTTCCGATTGTTTTGGGATATATACAAAGATCGTAGAAAAATAAAAACGGACGTACCTTCGATGGGGACGTTGCTGCCATTGTCGTTAAACAGCTCTCCATCGAAATACATAACCGTGGCTTATCACGAGGCGATCCCTCGATTATTCGCCCGTGCACCTTCCTTTCTCAGAAAGAAATGTGTCCACCTCGAAAGATCAGAAGTTTCACATTTTTTCACAATCTTATCTTATATTCTCGCAGTCGAGGTGAAAGAGCGGCTAGAGGAAGAGGATAATATCAAGGGCGATAATAGTTTCGACTGGAAACGCTATATGACACTATGACAGCGTTGACAGCTACATTCACATAATACGGCGAACCATGGCGAACAGTCGCGAGGTGCGAAGCGTTCGATGGTCTCATACGTATACATACATACATACGTCATATTCATATATACGATACACGAAATATATATAAACGTTATTTCTATGACGATAAGAATATAATACTAGCCGCGCGATGAGATAAACGATTATCACGACCGGTCTCGATTCACAAATGTATAAATATAAACTCAATATTCGGAGAAATAAAATCTATTATTGAATTTCTGAGAAATTCAATAGCAGATAGTAAGACGAAGGGCTAAATCTAAATATCTTATAAAAGTTCTTTTGATAATTGTAGTATTTTTCTGCAAAGCAGAAGCAATAAAGAATTTATTTTATAAGATCAAGTTGTATATTCTTTAGCAAAATATAAAGGAAACAAACACACACATTATATACACATATATATTACATATACATATATATATATATAATTTGGACTTGAATAATTACATACATACTGTGCCCTAACTGATGTTGGTAATCTTGAGTTAAGGTGAGTTTTTAATTTTAGGATTTAGCGTAATTCTAGTGACATTAGCGGATACGCGACAGCGAGTGCTATACACAATTATCCTTACTTGTTTATGGTTATAGCGAAAAAATATTTTTACGGATGACGTTTATACGGCGAAATTGGCGGAGAAACGTTGCGTTGCGGTTATTATTACGCGGCTGACGTGCTCGGATTCTGCGTATCAGAGGACGGATTGTGCAATGGAGAGCATATTCCACGAGAAGGTAAACTCGCCGATGTGGTATAATTAATCTGATGTTGATCCCTCCGCGGAAGAGAGACAGGATTGCGCTTACGACCTGGCAATGTTTCGCAGCAAGAGGGGTATCTATGCGCCCAGCATTGCCTGAACGCGCTTCTACAGGGTCCCTACTTTAACGCCGTGGATTTGGCAAATTTTGGTCATCAGATGGACGAAGAGGAGAGAATCCGGATGGCCGAGTCGGGCGTCGACAGTGAAGATTACAAATTGTTTCTAGAGGTAAATACGACAATGTCACGCAAGTGACGTTTTTTCAAGTGTCACGTATATATTTATAGTATACAAATAAAAGCACCCCTATATGCAACGTGGTTTAAATTATCGAGAACACATCACTCTTTTTCTCTTCAAAATTTAACATATAAGTGCTTGGCATTGCTATTATTTTCCCCAAGAGCCAAGCAAATTATATTTGTAACAATAGCATATTGCTTCTTGTGTGTATTTAGCAACCATCAGGAAACATGGACGACAGTGGATACTTTTCAGTTCAAGTTATTAGCAGTGCTTTGAAAGTTTGGGGTTTAGAACTGATTCCATATAACAGCACGGAACCAACAGCTTTACTGGCACAGAATGATCCTTCGTAGGTTATTGATAATTTATTCCAATCGATTTGTGTTTTGTTTTCAGATATTTTGTTCTATTGCACTTGCGAAAAAGCACTCCTTTCAAATATTTTGTAGAATAATTACAATAATAATGTAAGAAATATATAAATAAATGCATTATGAATAATGATACTTAGGGGCCTATTCTGTAACTTTTAACGATGTCGTTAGGTATCATTGCGCAGCTATTTTGCGTACCAATAAGTTTTAGCTGCACAATGATACATATTGACATTGTTAAAAGTTACAGAATAGGCCCCTAAGTATCATTATTCATAATGCATTTATTTATATATTTCTTACATTATTATTGTAATTATTCTACAAAATATTTGAAAGGAGTGCTTTTTCGCAAGTGCAATAGAACAAAATATCTGAAAACAAAACACAAATCGATTGGAATAAATTATCAATAACCTACGAAGGATCATTCTGTGCCAGTAAAGCTGTTGGTTCCGTGCTGTTATATGGAATCAGTTCTAAACCCCAAACTTTCAAAGCACTGCTAATAACTTGAACTGAAAAGTATCCACTGTCGTCCATGTTTCCTGATGGTTGCTAAATACACACAAGAAGCAATATGCTATTGTTACAAATATAATTTGCTTGGCTCTTGGGGAAAATAATAGCAATGCCAAGCACTTATATGTTAAATTTTGAAGAGAAAAAGAGTGATGTGTTCTCGATAATTTAAACCACGTTGCATATAGGGGTGCTTTTATTTGTATACTATAAATATATACGTGACACTTGAAAAAACGTCACTTGCGTGACATTGTCGTATTTACCTCTAGAAACAATTTGTAATCTTCACTGTCGACGCCCGACTCGGCCATCCGGATTCTCTCCTCTTCGTCCATCTGATGACCAAAATTTGCCAAATCCACGGCGTTAAAGTAGGGACCCTGTAGAAGCGCGTTCAGGCAATGCTGGGCGCATAGATACCCCTCTTGCTGCGAAACATTGCCAGGTCGTAAGCGCAATCCTGTCTCTCTTCCGCGGAGGGATCAACATCAGATTAATTATACCACATCGGCGAGTTTACCTTCTCGTGGAATATGCTCTCCATTGCACAATCCGTCCTCTGATACGCAGAATCCGAGCACGTCAGCCGCGTAATAATAACCGCAACGCAACGTTTCTCCGCCAATTTCGCCGTATAAACGTCATCCGTAAAAATATTTTTTCGCTATAACCATAAACAAGTAAGGATAATTGTGTATAGCACTCGCTGTCGCGTATCCGCTAATGTCACTAGAATTACGCTAAATCCTAAAATTAAAAACTCACCTTAACTCAAGATTACCAACATCAGTTAGGGCACAGTATGTATGTAATTATTCAAGTCCAAATTATATATATATATATATGTATATGTAATATATATGTGTATATAATGTGTGTGTTTGTTTCCTTTATATTTTGCTAAAGAATATACAACTTGATCTTATAAAATAAATTCTTTATTGCTTCTGCTTTGCAGAAAAATACTACAATTATCAAAAGAACTTTTATAAGATATTTAGATTTAGCCCTTCGTCTTACTATCTGCTATTGAATTTCTCAGAAATTCAATAATAGATTTTATTTCTCCGAATATTGAGTTTATATTTATACATTTGTGAATCGAGACCGGTCGTGATAATCGTTTATCTCATCGCGCGGCTAGTATTATATTCTTATCGTCATAGAAATAACGTTTATATATATTTCGTGTATCGTATATATGAATATGACGTATGTATGTATGTATACGTATGAGACCATCGAACGCTTCGCACCTCGCGACTGTTCGCCATGGTTCGCCGTATTATGTGAATGTAGCTGTCAACGCTGTCATAGTGTCATATAGCGTTTCCAGTCGAAACTATTATCGCCCTTGATATTATCCTCTTCCTCTAGCCGCTCTTTCACCTCGACTGCGAGAATATAAGATAAGATTGTGAAAAAATGTGAAACTTCTGATCTTTCGAGGTGGACACATTTCTTTCTGAGAAAGGAAGGTGCACGGGCGAATAATCGAGGGATCGCCTCGTGATAAGCCACGGTTATGTATTTCGATGGAGAGCTGTTTAACGACAATGGCAGCAACGTCCCCATCGAAGGTACGTCCGTTTTTATTTTTCTACGATCTTTGTATATATCCCAAAACAATCGGAACAACTGTGGATATTCAATATCCACATCCATATCCTGAATAAATAAGAAAATAAGAAAAAATAAAAAAATATCTTTTCAATTTTTCTCGCTCCCTTAATGCGAACAACTGAGCGTAGTTCTGTAATGGACATTACGAACGAAAAATATATGACCTTAGTGACAAAATATTCGTGTACATTTTTTATAAAAAATTATGTCATTAGTAACAAATAAATGTGTATACTTTGGAAAAAACATTTTTTAATTGTTTCTATTATTTATTTAATCACTATTATCGATTTACTCATTAATCAATTTTTGTCATATTAATTTTTTTCTGATTAATTATTACTATATAATTGAGATTATTTTGCATGTTTTAAAATAGCAATGTATGTAGAAGTCTCTAAAATAAAATTAATTATTTATCAAAAGGAGTGCAAAACATCAATATATATTTTTGAAAAAATAGATATATAATATATCTCTTTGAACAAAATAATTTTTTGCTATAAAATTATTTATATATAAAATGTTACATTAAGTGAATTTATTTGATATTCTAGCGAAGACTCCAGAAGGAATTGATGTCTTTAATACGCGAGCCACCACCAGGTGTACATGTAGATGGAGAATCCGCTGGACAGAATTTGACACAATGGATTGTTCATATGGAAGGTGCTAAAGGCACGCTATATGAGGGAGAACAATTTCAGCTTCAATTTAAATTCAGTTCTAAATATCCGTTTGATTCACCAGAAGTGACTTTCATTGGTGGAAATATCCCTATACATCCACATGTTTATAGCAATGGTCATATTTGTTTATCCATATTAACAGAGGATTGGTCTCCTGCCCTTAGCGTGCAAAGCATTTGCTTGAGTATTGTTTCCATGTTAAGCAGTTGTAAAGAGAAGGTATGATTTAGCTACTATGTAAATATATATGTGAGTCTTAATATTTATCTTAAAATATGCAAATAATACAAATATTGTTCTATGCAGAAGAGGCCACCTGACAATACATTTTATGTTAAAACTTGCAACAAGAATCCAAAAAAAACAAAATGGTGGTATCATGGTAAGAAAAGAATAATTTTATATATTACTATATATAATGACTATTAGTACCTGGGGTACATCTCATATGATTTGATTTGTTATTATAAAAGTAATCCTTTTTTAATATATTTGCAACACCAAAATAATTGTTTAAAACAAAGATATTGTATTTTTCTATTCACTAGATGACAGTGTCTAACATTAAAGATCATATAAAGACCTGATCAACTTGTCAACATGGAAAAATTGTTGGACCAAGTGGGATAACATTTAAATGGAACCTGATGCATTAAATTAATAGAATTTTGCATACTATATTATATAGTGATTTCACAATGTAATAGGAAATTAGATGCATAATTTTAAGAAAAGACAAGGCTACAACCTACTTACTACACAAGTTATAGAACTAATGTGAACTGCGCGAGTTGTTTAACTATAAATTATTGCAATGTTGCTGATAGTAAAAAAAGACGCGTATTATATTATAGTTACATAGAACTATATTATTGCAGGGGTCAGTTTTAATGCTAGAATGAGAGACACAGACAGGATGTATTAATTATTTATTATTAAGATATTAATATATGAAATTTTCCTCTCCTGTTATGGCAAAGATTTAGATATTAAAAAAATAATCATTTAATACATTTAGAAGACACAAAACGAATATTGTTATTGCTGCATATATACATATTATCGATATTACACTTGGTATGCATTTTAAGAATCACTTTCACTGTGTTATCTTCAATAAAACTTGATAATTATATTGATTTAATGATGTGATATTAAATTTCTTAGTAACTTTTAATCTCTCTAATCAATTTGTGTTGTACCACATATACACACTAAGAATTTGTTATTTACTTGGCTTTGTTTAAATGAATTGAATTGCAAACAAGTATTAACCCTTTCTCAACAAGGTTTTTCTTCTCAATCTCTCTCTTTCTCTCAATCCAGATTTTTACAAAATCCTAGTATTGTTTACATAAATTGTATAAGGAATAGATAGTTTATTTTTACACTTTAAAAATATTTTTTTGCCAATATCCTATTTTTCTGGGGAAAAAAAATCTACAATTTGATTTTTACACAAAATATTCGGTTACATATGTTACGATTTTAGCCGTATCTTGTAATTTTATACAACTAAAGTTGATGCGACAACGCGCATATAAATTCAACATGATATCAGTTATGATATGAAAGTCTTTATCATAAACTAATGCGGTGGCATAAAAAAAGATACCGATTGAGACTGTAGAAATTATCATTTTATACGTATGTGTGCGTATTCGTGTTAATTATCACATTTATCACATACTTTCATTTATTATTGGTTATGGTCATGTCAAATATCCATATAAGTTCAACGATTTATATATTATTCGATATATAATATATTTTTAGCAAAATATTATCGAAATAAGATGTTTACATTAATATCTCGACACTCTAAATACACACACACACACACATTTATTTTAATTCGTAATTTTATTTTACTCACAAGCAAAGAGATTTAAAGAAATCGCATGTTATCTAAAGTCTAAAGTTCATGCTACTGCATTTTTTCTCAGAGATTATTTATCAAAACGTTTTCTTCTTAGAGAAAATACAATTTTACGATTAAATTTAACGTAAAACGGCTTTATGATATAAATTGTATAATTGAATATATAAGTTTGTTCCACATACAAATGGACTTCTCTTTTTCCTTTGCATCATATTCTTTCTCCATCTTTGAATTTTTTGAAAATATACAGTTTTGTAATTTAAAATGGATATTAATAATTGCAAAATACTTGTTTTATAATTTTGCGCGCGACAAATATTTCTCGATTGTAGAAAAATTATACAATAAAAATAATATAAAAAATATTTTATGTCATTGAGATGTGTTAGAAATTTTTGAACATCCGGATAGAAGACGCAGATTCATCCGATGTGCTCCATGAAAAACCCAAGAATCATGAAGCAGCGTTATCGTATAAACCTATAAACATACGAGCCACGCATTATATATCGTTAACAGTCACCGCTGATTGTGAGAGAGAGGCAGAGAGTGGGGCCGATGATTTCTGAGATATATAAAATATAAAGTTTTTTTTTTATTACGGTAACTTTTATAAAATACGCAGTGCGAGTCGCAAATGGCGCAGATTGTACGTGACATGGTGATCATCGCGGTACCATTGGTGTATCGGTAGGAAAATCCACAGCGTTATTATCCGTATTAATGAGGACATTGCGCGAGGCTGTCGAGAGACCAGTTTTCGTATCTACTTTTCTTCGTTTTGTTTTATATTCTCTTGCAACTCTCGCGAGAACGAGCATTTCCACGATTCCACCTCCAAGGCGCGTTGTCCTTCAGCAGCCGCATGGCGTCATCATCCACACTAATATCTATCTGACAGTGTCGTAGGATCAACGAAGATAGTGGTTCCGGCTGAATTCGTGTGTCCGGATCGTATTTTGTTCCTGCAAAATAAAAATTTAATTTTCTAATAGAACAAGTGATTTGACGACGTGTCGAAAACTCGGGATTGATTCGAATGAAGTTTTCCTTTCCGCGAAGTATCTTCCACGACGACGGTGCCTTAGATGTCGTCATAGATCGATGGTGGGCTTTGTGTTGGCAAAGTGACCACTGTCAACAGGAACGATGATTTGTGTGAGGTAATTTCGAGTATGAGTCAATCTCATTCTTAACTGTTAAAGGTCACATATGGGTCATTTCGATCCTATCGATATTTTAACAATAGATAGGATATCATGGTCTTAATAAAAAATTATTTAAAATTTATTTTTTAACTTTTGTTGTACATGTTTATTTTCTACAGATTTCAAAGAATGTAGATGGTATCTTCAAAAAGTTCATGCATTGATTTTTTTTTTGGCAGCGCTGGAAATACTGTTGGTGTTTCCGATATATCTTCATGTATGGGAAGTCTCGTTGACCTTCAGTACCAATTGTGCCTTGAAAAAAACTCACACTTGATTTATAGTAACAGTTTTCTTAAACAGTTTTTGCACGCCGTTGGGATTTTGCAAATAACAGTAATTTAAAAGAGCGAAAAACAAACGTGAAATTCTTTATTAAACTCGGGAATAACGGATCAAAAATTCATGAAACGTGTACATACAATCTATCAGAAATCTGCTATGAAAGTGGGGGGGAATCGCTGGATCTTTTGCAACAGGATAAGCGCTTTCGCATACGGCGCTCATTGTACGCGAATTTATCGGTCAAAACAACATCACCGTCATGGACTACCGTCCCTATTCGCCCGATTTAGCCCCGTGTGACTTCTTTTTATTTCCAAAAATTAAAATTATCATGTGGGATGAACATTTCGGGGACATGGAGACTATCAAAGAGTCGACGAGGCTCCTGAAGAGTCTATCTAATGAGAACCTGCAGCACTGCTTCCAGCAATGGAATCGTGTTAGCACAAGTGCATAACGATGAAGGGAGAGTATTTTGAGGGAGATAAAATTGCTGTGCCTAAATAATTAAAAATAAAAATTTTATCAATAAAGTGCATGAACTTTTTGAATATACTATACATATATTAATTTTTGTAGATTTTTTCAAGCATTTTGAGACAGCTAAAACTGCGACAAGATATTGTGACCCATATGTAACCAGGAACATTTAGCAAATAATGCGAATTATTATCGATCAGTTGCGCCGAATTGGTAGATAATGATCGTGAATGATGCGCTTCAATTGAAGTCTTTCTTCGTTTTTTTTTTTTTTATTTTAGCAAAATACTTGTTTTATAATTTTGCGCGCGACAAATATTTCTCGATTGTAGAAAAATTATACAATAAAAATAATATAAAAAATATTTTATGTCATTGAGATGTGTTAGAAATTTTTGAACATCCGGATAGAAGACGCAGATTCATCCGATGTGCTCCATGAAAAACCCAAGAATCATGAAGCAGCGTTATCGTATAAACCTATAAACATACGAGCCACGCATTATATATCGTTAACAGTCACCGCTGATTGTGAGAGAGAGGCAGAGAGTGGGGCCGATGATTTCTGAGCATGTTCGACAGCGCGACAGCAGTCTGTTACGAGTCGTATCGAACGGAGATAATGCCGCCATTACGCTAATATTTTAATTTCGTCAACAATCTGATCAGCCAGCGCTGATGAGCGTCGAGACGCCCTGCGGCCGTAATATGTTTTTTTTTTTTTATTTTACTGATGATCCCGTTCTAAACGTGATGCGTGTTGCATGCAGATGTCTTCATTTCCATAATATACTTTGTTCCTAGAATGGATATATAATTTGTCAAAAGATATATATGGCAGGAAATTACCTAGTGAAATCGCAAATGCAAACTTGAACTTGTTATGACTAATTAAAAATTTCCCATTGCGATATATGTTTATAACAATAACGATACCAAAGAATATGATATTATAATGAATATAATTCACGTATACGCGTGCTATGTATCGTTTAAGCGGGATAATCAGTTGTTCATAATTATACATACTTTACTAAGAAATCAATTCGTTATAGATTTTTTATAGTTGAAAGACATTTATTTTGCATCCATATTTTTTTTGTCGCTTCATTCCAATCGACGTAATTCCCATAAATATGTAGAAACAAAATTCAAAATTATTGTTGCTTGTTGCTAATACAGGTATATAATGGTCATTTTACTCTGAAACAAATATAAATATGATGGCGACTATTTTCAAAATAATGATGTAGAAGCGCATTCTGTTACATGCGGCATATCACATTGCAAAACATCCCCAATGTAAAGAAAGTATGGTTTCCACATAGTGCATGGGCATGGTGACATTGATACAACAGCAGCAGCAGACAACCGACGATAATCATCAATATCAGAATAAGGAGCAGGACCGCGCGAACAGTGTCGTTGCATCTGTCGAAAGTCACGCGGTCGACAAATTTCGCGGCGAGGTTGCAGAGTCGGCGAAGGAAACCACGGTAGTTGTTCCAGGCAATAGTAGCGCTGGAGATTCCTCTACGCAGTGCAGTGACGTAGACGACGACGATGAAGAAGAGGAGACGACGGATGTTGAACAGGGTTGGATCACGAATCTGCCGGTATCCTCGACCATCGTCGAGCAACATCAAGCGATCGCCACCACGAATGGCGATGTCGTCCTCCCAAATGCCGATCCGTCGAACTTCGGCGATGTATGCGTGAAGAACTCGACGAATGTGCATCTGGGTAACAAGACCTTCTACAAAGGTCCGGTTACCATAAAGCAGTTCGTTTACACGAACCCCACTGCAATACAGGAGGCAAGCAAATTCGAGGTCAATGCTTCCGACATTAACATTTTGGACTTGTCGACGAATAAGGATGATGGAGTCGCCGACAGACCTATTTTTTCACAAAATACCAAATTAAATAAAGGTAATAATCGATTGCGCTGTATGTTTAATAGGTTGCTTAGATCTGTTACTGTTGTATTTAATAATATAGCTTTTGTAATTATTTTAGTGACGCAATGGCTATGGACGTGGAGATGTGCGTTTTTATCGTGCGCTCTAGCCTTAATATTTCTAACTGCCATAGTAATTGCTATTGTACATTTCGCTCGTTATACAGACGCACCGCCATCGCCAGTTTTCCCGGAAATTCCAGACTCATCGCTCGAGGGTAATTAGCCATCTGGAAAATTTACGAGATAAATAATATTGTACTATGCTTTTGCAAAATCGCTCTAATTTATCTTTTACATTTTCATATTTGCATTTATTATATATTCATTTATCTATTTTTAGCTCCGCGGTTATAAAATGACTATAGCCGAACGTTGCGAAACATTTTGTATTCTCATTATACATCTCAAATGTATCAAATTTCATTGTTAAAATATGCATTATAATATATATCAAGATATTAATATTTTGATATTTATATTTAATACAAAATTAACCAGTTTTTAATTCATTTATATGTTTGCTATATTTTGGATATTTTATGTATGTGTATTGTCTTTATAATTTCCAGGTATAACAGTAACTTCAGTACGTTTTGTCGAAAGGAACGAATGGGGGGCGCAACCGCCTTCAGAACCTCTGACAAAATTGAAGCTACCAGTCCCATATGTGATTATTAGTCACACCGCCACAGAGTTTTGCGACACGCAATCGCAATGTACATTCCATGTGAGATTTGCTCAGACTTTCCACATCGAGTCTAGAAGATGGTCGGATATTGCTTATAACTTCCTCGTCGGAGGCGATGGTCTTGCATATGTTGGCAGAAGTTGGGATTATGTCGGTGCTCATTCTTTCGGTTATAATAACAAAAGCATCGGCATCTCTTTTATCGGCACATTCAATGCGGTCAAACCACCAAAAGGACAATTACGTGCTGCGCAAAAAATTATAGAATTCGGTGTCAAAGCTGGTAAAATTGCACCCGATTATAAACTGTTAGGTCATCGACAAATTTCGAAAACTTTGAGTCCTGGAGATGCTCTGTTTAGTGATATTCAGACATGGCCGCATTGGTCACTTAATCCTTAGTTAACATGATAGCATGAAAATTTATTGTGAAGAAATGATGAAGAAGCAAGATATCCGAAAATATGAAAATTTTTTTCTTTAATTGTATGTGGCTATTGTCTGTTCATTTTAGACAGTTTTAAGAAGTTTATATAATAAATTCTGAAAAATGCGTCAACTTATAACATTGTTAAAAAATTACTTTATATTCAAAAATATTGAATAGAAAGATTTACCTTTTTTTGAGAATTCTGTGTGATGTAAGTAAATTTAGATATTAAGATTATTAAGAATATATATATGTAAAAAGGATAGCAAGTATACTTTTCTTTGATCAAAATAAAATTTTGTACAAAAATATGGTATTAAGAAAAAAATGAATTAATGATATGAAAAAGTATTGAATTTACAAAAGACACTATAAAGTACGTTAAAAATTATTTTTTTCTTTAGCCAGTAGAAAGTTGTGTCAGATATAAAATAATAGAAGAGATATCTCTTTATTCTTTTTTTCTTTTTCTCACAGATATAAAAAAATATAAACATTTTATTCTTTTCGCTAGCGGGCGGCAAATCGTCAGAATAAAGAAAAGAGAGATGTAATATCTCGTCGGTGCCATTGAACATAAGATATTGATAAAGATGAAATATATATAAAGTTTATAAATCGTAACATAATTTCTTAAATTTTCTATTCGGTGATAACAATGGGTACATTTAATACAACAACCGCTCATTAAGCATTTAATGATCAGTTGTTTGTGATCGGTGTATATTATCCAATTTGTCCAAAATCTAAAAATTACGTCAATATTGCCACTGATCTCTATACTATGCTGTGTTCCGATTCCCTACCCGGGTGCACCCGATATAGTATATGTCATGTATACTATAATATCGGGTGCACCCGGGTGGGGAATCGAAATACAGCCCTATACCTAGATATGGGATACACTAGCATCCGCGGCTCAGGGTATCTAGGGTACCCCAGTACGATTAACCAATCAGAGGGTTCTGTATCTGATCGAAATGTAGCCAAATAAACGCCACTCATATATATTAGCGTTTTCGAATGGACGGGTTTTAAGGTCGTATTACACTACGGGTTGCGGTAGGAGTTACGGTTGACGATTATGGATTGACCAATCAGAGCAAAGCAGCTTGCCGATTGATCGGCCAATCCGCAACTATCAACTGTAACCCCAACCGCAACCGAGCCCCTTGTTTGAAGTAAAATAATTCCAAATTGCTCCTCCTGATATTTAATATTTTATTCCTATTCCTAATATTTCCTCTATTATGCGCAGGGCCTAAAGGTACAATTTCATGTGCTGCAAAAGGTTTGTTCGCGTTGCTTAAAATTCCCAAAAAATTTTGCACTGGAAACAAGATAAATATATATTTGGATGTTGAAAAGAGTGAAAGCGAAGATGCTGAGTGCAAAAAGTTCAAGCAACGCGAACAAACCTAAACTCGTGCAGCAGAGAGGTCACGTGATCGAAATGGACGAATGAGTGACGACGGTGTGGCCGCTGATTCGTCCGTTTCGATCACGGACCTCTCTGCTGCACTTGTACCTTTATACGGCCTTTAATCCATTCCTGATCAATTAATCATTATTTTACTATGAATTCAAGTCTTTTATTGGCAGAGACGATGCAATGATCATTCTTGGGTCGATCAAACCTGCTTTATTTGAAAACGCTATATATGTGACATGGGAATCTATCTTTACTACGAGAGTTTTCCAGCAAGAAAAACATAGGTAGACACAATATCACGCAATTGGCTATCGAATAGAAAATTTTTAAGGTCCCAAAAATTCGTCTAGTTGACAGCCAATGGCGTGATATTGTGTTTAAGGACTCTTGCAAACAAGATGCGTCAACGTGTACAAGGGATTTTAAAAGGGGATCATTATCTGAGATTTGGGAACGCACATAACCCGCAGAGGAACTATTACGGATTTCGGAACATGCTTGCTTTTGATCGCTTTCAAGTAACAAATAAGACCGATTAAACGCGCTTCCGGTAAGAGACTTAAAGAAAAAAAACTACGTCTCATTTCTCGCATAATATTACATAGATCCGTATGTATTACCATAATAGATTTTATTAATTGTATGAACGGCGTGTCGATTGCATGTTCGAAGATGCCATTTTGGCGGGTGACGTGTGTGCACGCTATTGACAGCCATAACGCGACTCGCGGCGTAAACGACGGACGGTTTCGTGCAGCTTGTTGATCGCGAGAAGTGTGCGCGGCCGGAAATACGTGATCGTCGAAAATATTCGGAAGCAATCTCGGTGCCTTAGAATGGCGAGAATTTGGCGGTTATACCGCCCGATGGTAAACAGAAGACTCGCCGCGTACAATTTTCTGCTGCGCTAAGTGGGGAGAGTGGAGAGGAGAGGGGGAGAGAGGCAATGCACCATGGGAATAATTTGCGACAGGCGCACGCGCAGTTCAGTTTACAGTTGGAGCTTGGAAGAAAATGGCGTCAGCTAAGTTTTTAGAGGAAGCTCTAAGCACGGATGTCGACGAATCCGCAGTGAACGCGATAGTGGGCTCCCTCGAGACGCAGCTTGTAACGTCCACGCCGACTGTGGCCGGCCATCAAGCGAGTCCCGCATCGGTCAGTCAACAGAATCATCAGGTGAACAGCGCTATTTCCAACGGGGGCACCATCACCGCGGTACAGCCGCAGAAACATGGGGTTTCGAACGGCGGCGGTGTGACCACTGTGAATAGTCTAATGACTCAAGAGGTCACTAAGCCCATCACTACCAGCACTTTGCTGCCAGTAAACGTGGTTACATCGAATGCAGTGGCGCCGCAGGTCATCACCACACAACAGCAGCAACAGCAACAGCATACACAACCGCCAGGAATACCTCCTGCTGCATATATCAATCAAGTTTCGACCACCAATCAGGTGTCGAGCAATCAGGCCACGCATATACCAAGCTTGACCAAGACACATGAATCAGTAAAGATCATCTATCCCGGCGTTGGACAAGTTATAGCCACTACAGGGGTGGCAAATGCGAATAATAAACTCACCTTTCCTGCCCAAACTGTTGGGCAGCTAGCGAACGGTACCTTAGGTATAACTTCACAACCGGTACTGCAGACTACATCGAACGTTGTTTCCAATGTCGGTTCTGTCAGTCAGACAGGTAGCCAAACAGTGACCGCAGTGAATAAGCCGACAGGCGCAGCTTTAGTGATTAAGACTAGTGTAGCACCCGGTGGCATGGTTTCCGTTCCAATGTCCGTTCCAGTCTCTGTGGCTGGCAATGCAGTGAGTACAGCATTGCAGGCCAAGGCTGGAGTTACTTCGACGATAGTACCCAGCAATGTTCAAATTCTCAATGTAAATACAATGCGTCCTGGAACGCCAGTAGCAGGACAGCAAGCCAATAAACAAGTTACCCCAAGAGTGGTAATTGGACAACACCAATTGGTAGGAGCGAGACCAGGAGCTCCAGGGGTAAGATGCTCTTTAGTATTTATAAATATGGATAATGTGGCAAAATTTAAAAAAAAATTGTATGTATATAGCATATACAAAGTAAAGGGCATCATAATTTATTTTATTTTATATACCATTCAACTTTCCATAGCATATAAGACTTATAAAATATGATACGATAATTAATAAATATTATTTATGATTTTTTTAGATAACGTTACAGGCACTTCATGGCCTTCAACCTGGTACTCAAGGTCATCTATTATTAAAAACAGAAAATGGACAGTATCAGTTATTGAGGGTAGGTCCAGCTCCAACTGCAGGTACTCCCACTGGTACTGCAGTTACGCCGAATAGTATAGCTGGCAATGCAGTAGTTGCTGCACCATCTCCAGGCACTACCTATCGCCTAACTTCAGTGCCGGCTGTAAGTAGGCTGAATACCCAGTTCACTGGCCCACCACTCGCCACCCTAAGAAAATCTGTTCAGGTGACGCACTCTTATACCTCTTACAAGACTCGATGTAGTGCTACTGTAGAGACTTCTTAGTTTGTGACTTTGTTTTCTGTGGAATGATGTTATCAGTAAGCCAATATATTTTATGCTTACAATATATATTTTTCACTCAACACATTTAAATTTGGGTATTTATGACACAAAAATTTATTTTAGTTATTAATTATTTTTTTATTTTTGTATTATTTGCGAATATTTAGTATATTATTATATTTATAAACATTATATGTAGAAAAATTATATTTACAAATCTTAAAGTTCTCTTAAATATGTATTCTGAATGCGTAAAAATTTTACAGGCAGCTTTATTATCTATTATCAACATAATTTTGATCTAAATGTTTTACAAACTTAAATTGCATAATTGATAACATCTCATGATTAGCTTACTTTTGGGATGCATTTCTTTGGTAGTATGTTTTGAGTTTTGTGGAGTGTAGTAAATTAAAGTTCAATGTCCTTATCAAATATATTGCATGAATTCGGTTAAAGGTGTTATTTAGGAAATGCTACATAGATTAAAGATAAATTTTCTTTCAAAAAGAGCATAATTGTGTGAGGATATTTATACATCTTCTTTGCCTTTTTTATAATTTCGTACATATATTTATTAAAACTATTTCCTTATTGCTATATCTTATAATATAAGCATGCGTAACTATATTATTCAAATTTGCATAAATTTACTTTCTACAAATCTATTTATTTCTAATTGGAATATAAATAATAACAGTAAAAAGGTAAAAAATTATATTACTATCGTTCTATGTAACGCTAACAATGTAATATTATATTTGGTTAAGAAAATAGTATTGTGCGATTATTTTGAAAACAGTTCTCAAAAAATTTGTTTATATATAATACAAAATTTGATGGAAGGTCTGTATATAATATCCTGCAAAGTAAAGTAAAACGATCAATAAATATTATTTATTAGCATATGTTATATTTTTAAATAATAATATATATTTTTTATATATATTAATGTCTATACAATTACAAAAAGATTTGTAAAATACGAGTCTGTACAAGGTACAAGTGCGTCTATAGAATACATCGTAATAAATAAGTTATGTTATCGTACTTTCTTGAATTTAATAGAAATAATGAGGAAAATCATTAATAGCTTTATATTTTTAATTTTATCTATCAGTAAAATATTGTATATATACTTTAACATAAATGTAAGAAAATTATTTAAATTATTTACTAAGTAAGTTATTAATCTGGATAATTACATCATATACTAAAAGAAAACTTATATGTTTATAGTTTTCTCCAATAACCAGTGAGTTAAAATTTTCTCATAGGATTATTTTTATTTTTAATTTTTGGCATGCATGTATAAAAAATAGATGC